CACCAATGTCTGGAAGTCCCTCAGAACAATCATACCATAAGTTCTGGAGGCTTGAGAACCGCTAGACTAATTATTTAAAATAACTCTAAACCAAATCCACTGAGAACAGATATTGCTTAATACAAAAGAATTTTAGACCTTATCTGCTGATAAAGCAGCCAAATAAGGAGTAAAGATTAAATTCAGGTATGGTGGCCTCAACTGCTTACATACCTATGGTTAAACTCAACAAAAAAGTTATATGTATGCTGTCTGCTTTAAATCCCAGGTAAAGTCTAAGGTAAGACTTTAGGTCATACAAAATGGTTGACTTAGACGGCAACAGAAATGTAGGTTACTACCAATCCCATGTATCATGTTTAGGCCGAGTGGCAATATTGCGTATTGGTTAACTCTTAGGCTCTGGAGTAAGACCATTTAATAGATATTAACTTTGGCAAGTTACATAATTAAGCCTTGGTATTTTTATATGGGAGTTAATGTAACTAAGATTGTAGTTATGCTAATGATTACATGAGCATCCATGTAAGAAGTTACTTCAGAGCCTAGCAGCTAAGATTTAACATAATCTAAATCACTGCAAGCTATGCCATACACTTACTACCCAGACATTAACCTACCAGAAACAGTAAAGAAATTCTTGTCCTTTCCATGTTTACTTCTCCCCCTTCAATCAACATCAGGGTGTTTATTATTACAAGACTGTAGTCAGACCTTGTGAATTTAGATATTCAGGAAACATAGTTAAGTGTTAAACTTTAAATATTTTACCTAGAAAGAATAGTTGATGGAAATAAATACAACTTTTAGAAAACTTATACAGTATAAGCTTATATGCAATAAGAGAAAATTTCATGTTCTCTCCCTTTTCTTTAACTATTTAACCATTTCATAATTTTTAAATGCCTGTATTACCTTGACATTTGCTCATTTTTGAATCCCCTCCCCTTTTGTTTTCGGTCCAAAATACCACTAAAAATAGATTTTCAACAGGCATAGCCTCTCCCCAATAATCATGGCTTGGGGAGAAAAAGTGGTAGCTCTCTTCACAGCCATGTTGTACATTCTCATTAACAGGATACATTAAAAAAAATTTTTTTTAATGTTTTATTTATTTCTGAGAGAGAGAGACAGAGAGAGAGAGAGAGAGAAGGAACAGGGGAGGGCCAGAGGGAGGGAGACACAGAATGCGAAACAGCCTCCAGGCTCTGAGCAAGCTGTCAGCATAGAGCCCCATGCGGGGCTCAAACCCACGAACCACGAGATCATGACCTGAGACGAGGCCAGACACTCAACCGACTGAGCCACCCACAGGCGCCCCAATAGGATGCTTTTAAAAAACCTTAAAGAGGATTTCAGAATCCCTTGAAATCTAAATCTCTCAAGTATAAATTCAGTATTTTCTACTGTCAACTCTTTTTCCCCCAAGTATTTACTAGCTGGGTTGAGCTCTAAAAATACAAGGCCCTTGCTAAGACCCCCTCAAACCAACAAATATCTACTATGGACCAGGCACTTTGATGTTAACTCCACATGTCTGCTTGACGTTATTTGAAGGAAGATGTGAATCATAAAGCAACAGGCCTAATCTAGGCCTTACAACTGACAAACTATAAAATCTTCACTAGAAGTCCTCAATAATTCAGTCTATGCTCATCAAGGAATCTATAAAAACTTGTAAAACTTAAAATATTTCATATAAATCTCTTAACCTGGTTTTTATGAGCTTACAATGTTTTAATCTGTAATTTTTTAAGGAAAAGTGAAGATTATGAAAACAAATTATTTTACTTATGTTTTTAGAAGCATGTCCACCACTAGATTTTATTTGGCTTTTTGAGGTTCCTTGGTCTCATGCACCTCCCAGTCCTGGCTAAATGACAGCTTGCTGAAATTACACTACTAAACTCAGTTTTGGAGATATGATTATTAATTAAGCAGATTACTTTCAATTTACTATTACAGGAGGGAAATGAGGTTAGTTCACCAAGGAAGATGACAACTAGTAACCAGTATCATAAATGGAATGAAATGGTAGCCGGTAAGTACTTAACACCTATTTAAGTAAACTGAAGCATTAAAAAACTGAGAACTTCTGTCACAGAAGTAAAAACGATACCTGAAGTTAGGGGTCACCTAATCCAGTTTCTCAAACTTTATAAGTTCTTTTTGCAATGTAACATCTCTACTAATTCTCCCAGTCTATGAAGTTGAAGATAGCCAATGCTTGTTTATTGCTTACTGCTTAGAGCAAACCATTCTCTATCTTAAGAGATGTGACTGTTTTTTGTTTGTTTTTGAGGTTTAGGTTATCCTAAACTAACCTTCTATGCTGAAAGGAACTTTCTCCTACACGTGTAAAAGCTATCATGATCCAAGTCTTTTCAAGCTAAATACTTAGTTCCTTCAGTCACTTTCCATGATAATTTTACATTTTGGTTCTACTCTGAAGATGCACCAGGTCCTGCTGGTATTCCTTTTTTAAAATTTATTTATTTTTGAGAGACAGAGTGAGACAGCACAAGCAGGGGAGGGCCAAGGGAGTGTCACAGAATCTGAAGCAGGCTCCAGGTTCCGGGCTGTCAGCACAGAGCCCGACAAGGGGCTCAAACTCAGGGACCACAAGATCATGACTTGGGCTGAAGTCGTATGTTTAACCAACTGAGCCACCCAGGTGCCCCAGTCCTATTGGTATTCTTAAAGCATTAGAAATGGAAAACAATATTCCAAGGAAGGAATAATCAGCCCAGGACAACAGTAACAATACTGGGCTTATTCTAGATATCTTCTAGATATATAAAAATGGTAAAACATCCTTACAGTGCATTTTATAATTAAGTTTATTTACTTATTTTGAGAGAGACAGAGATAGTGTGAGTGAGGGAAGGGCAGAAAGGAGAATCCCAAACAGGCTCTGTGCTGACAGTCAATGCAGGGCTCGAACTCATGAAACTGTAGATTACAAACTGAGCCAAAACCAAGAGTTGAACACTTAACTGAGCCACCCAGGCACCCGCAGTGTAAGTATCTAACCCATATTCTACTGATTCACTTGAAGCTTACTACTCAATAAAACTATTACTATTGCTAAGCCATACACTCCAAAAGCACTATACAATGCATCCTCCATCCAAGGAATCAAGAACTTTTTAATCAACTAATTGACATCAGTATGTACTTTACTGGAGTTTTTAACTTTTCCAGTAATCATGGAAAACAAGACTTTAACAGGTTTTGGTATCCATTCATACTGGGTCATGTCTACACCAACATTCTGTTATTTGAGACTGTTATCCAGAGTTCATTTTATTTTATACTTTTATATAGTCTTTTTCTCTTTTTAAAGATGTAAATGACATTTACCTACCACTAAGCTTCTGTCATCTTTTATTTCTTAAAAATAGTTCAGCTATCATATCTTTTATGTTGCAAGCAGTAAAACATTTAATTCTAACACATAAAAGTATTTAGGACAAATAATTTTAGTAAAAGAGAGTCTAAATCCAACAGGCATGAGAAGACTAATATTTATTCTAATGAAGACAAATTTCTCCTTCTTTAAAAAAAAAAACAAAAAACAGCAGCCAAATCAATGCTAAGGTTCAGTGATTTGTGCCCTAATTACACCAAACTCAGGCCTATCCCTGGTAAAGTCTTACTCCAAATCCAAGAGCCCCTAAAACTGTTGAAAATTTAATAAGCCTTGGTTTGCTTAGTGTTTAAAGTTTATTATCCTATTTCTATGCCATGCCATTCTGTACATGATATTTTGCCAAAGAATAGCTGCTTTCTTGGATTATTCTATTCTCTAAGAAGTAAAACTCAAAGCAAATCAAGAACTCTCATTATTGACAGCAAATATACAGATAGCTTAAGTCCCTATACAGTATCTTGACTCTTTGTTACACTATTCATAAACTCATAAACTGATTACAACCAACACACCAATTCCAATCCCTTTCTATCCCAGCCTTGATTCACTAATACTGCCAGTTCTGGCCAATTCTAGATCTTAGTATTCATTCTAGCTGTTGGTTATAGGATGTCCTATTTGTTGTAAAGAGTCTCATTTCAAATAAGCAATGTGGGCAAGTTAGCCAAAACATAAGAAATATCAGAAAAGTAAAGATTAAGTAGAGAACTACTTTTGACCCCTTTCCAGGTATTCTGGAAGTCTGGGTTAGCACCAAAGTATTTTATACCATTTTATGGCATGAAAAAGCACAACCATTTTAGATCTTGAACTCTTAAACTTGATAAAGATTTGGTAGCCTAATATTTCCATACACATTAAGGTTATCACGATGACTCAAGTTCATTTAATGTGTTGAATAAATACTAAATCTGACCGAATGGTAACTTTTATACTAGGAATAGGTAATCCAAAAAAATCAGATTTAGAATCTTGGCCCAAGGCAAGTTCTTAACACTGTTTTCAAATGAACATTTAAAAACATTTCATTGGGAGAGGGGGAAGAGGGAGTGATTGCTGGGTATGGGGTTTTTTGGTGGGGAAGGGATAAAAATCTACAAAAATTACTTCATGGACATGAACAATCCTGTGAATACACTAAAAACAGTAAACTGTACCCTTTAAATGGGTAAACTGTGTATGTGAATTTTCTCAATAAGCTACTTAAAAAACATTCTTAACCTCATCCTAATAGCTACTACTCTACATGTTATTATACGCTTTCTAAAATATTATTAAATACATGTTTAAAAAAACACTAATACCATAGAGGAAGAGACAAAGAGAAACTATTACTACTAAATTAAGCCAGGTATTAAGATACTGAAAACAACAAACCACTTAGGAGCCAGAGATGACCGAGCGTTAAGAAGCCCTTATTTACAACCATTAAACAAAGGGTAACAGACAGACTGATATGACCCCTAAAAGACTTCTTCAGAGAGACTATTATTTGAAAACAATCTTTGATGGAAGGCTCTGCTTCTATAAACAAAAATATGAAGTCCTCAATAGCATGAGCACTTACTCATCATACTCGATATGATAAATAACGTCTTCATCAGCAGCAACAGAGTCTGAATTAGACGTAGAGGGTACACTGTCCAATTTATTTGTGTTCTCTTTGGAATTATGATTTACATTTCCATTAGTCCTTTTACAAGAACTGCCATTCTTCAGTGGAGTTTTGCCACGTGAATGTCCATCAGAAGCTCTAGTAACACTACGTATACGGGCTTCAAACCAAGCACCAAGGCCGACATCTCTGGCATCCACCAATTCATTTACCTAAAAAAAGTTTAAAATTAGTTAATGAAGCTTAATTTCATCTATTGCTTCAAAAACCACACTGTAACTCAAGTTACTGTGAGAATTATCATGGTTAACAACATTTGCAGCTACTCATGCTTATTTTCAGAGATTAGATCAAAACTATTCTTTTTGGATTATGCTGTGAAATCTGTTTTTTACTAATTTGAAAATAAATTTTCCTTCCGATTTCATTCAATGAAATAGATGCTTTCTTTACTCCTTGACTGGGTCTACATTAGATTTTTAAAATATCATTCTTGTGTTCCCAAGAGTTGTTCTAGCAAGTCATTAAGAATGTCACTTAGTAAAAAGCAGGGACTTCATAGTATTGTGACTATTATTGATTTGCTCCATTAATTTCTTCAGAATCCTAGAGATAACTTATATAGTCAGTCCAACAGAAAACAGTTAAGTATTAAACAGAAGAAACTTGAAAATGGAGGAAATTATACACATGAATAAAGAGAAGAATATAGTAAACCTATCTATATAAAATGGGGTAAGTTCCACTACCTGGTAATAATTCACTAACAAATGCATTATTTAGTATTTCAAAGAACAAAGAAAATTAAAAGAGAATACAGGTGTAAGATGCAAAATAGATGTAACTCAAGTCTAGTGGATGATCCAGAAGTAAATCATGCTTCTGACAAAAGGAAAACTGTAATTAGAAAATACAAATATCAGGGGCACCTAGATGGCTCAGTCAGTTAAGCATCTGACTTTGGCTCAGGTCACAATCTCACAGGGTGTGGGTTCGAGACTGCTTGAGATTCTCTCTTACCCTCTCTCTCTCTGCACCTCCCTACTCATGTTCTCTCTCAAAATAGATAAACTTATAGGGTGCCTGGGTGGCTTAGTCGGTTAAGCATCCGACTTTCACTTAGGTCATGATCTCGCGGTTTGTGGGTTCGAGCCCCGCGTTGGGCCCTTTGCTGACTGCCAGCTCGGAGCCTGGAGCCTGTTTCAGAGTCTGTGACTCCCTCTCTCTCTGACCCTCCCCTGCTCATGCTGTCTCTCTCTCTCCTAGAAATAAATAAAACATTAAAAAAAAATAAACTTAAAAAAAATATATATATATAAAGGTTTCAAACCACCAAGCTAACATAGAAGGTAGCCTATAGACAAAACCAAAAATTATTAACAATCACTGCCATTAGAAGTATAATATCTGACCAAAAGTACTATAAATAATGAATACAACAGTAAATGAAAAGCTTGAAAGACAGAACATCTGATGTAATATGAGAACAAAGAGTTTAGGAGGAAAGAAAAAGATGTAAGGGTCAACCAGTCTAGACATAAGAATCAGAGATGAAACACATTATACTTTCCATAAATTAATTCATTTGGACACAACTGCTTTTCTTCCTCAATAGTCACTGACAAACTTAAAGACATTTACTTTCTTACAGGCAACATTAGGTACAACAAAAACTAATTAAAGTTAAGGTCTATCATACATGGGAGAATAAACTGAGACTATTCTTTCACAGCAAATCAAAATGTAAGGTTGTATGTCACACTACATAATTATTATAGCAGAGAATGGGGCAAACAATGGATACTGAAATAATAACAGGAAACATAAGGAAATCTAAAAATACCCCATTGTTTATACAACACACATAAGAGAGCTTACTATCTCATAAAGGTAGGACATTCTTTGAGTAGGGCAACCCGAGACTTATAATTGTAAACAAGATCTACAAATTCTTCATTGAGTACATGACAATGCATATAACCCAGGTGGGAAAAATATGCTTTTAATTTAAAAAGTAAGGATTTTGCACATTACGTGGACATACTAAATTAGGTCCAATTTTCATGTGTCAAAATGCATGCAAGAGGTTAAAGGTAAAGCCTGAGTTTGAATATGGTACAGAAGAGGGTACTTGTATGATTAACATGAAAACAGGACATTGCCATGGTAATTTCTTGGATTTCATGGTAATCCAGTTCAAATTAAGAACTGAGTTGATAAAAAGTTAGGATATGTTATGATAAAAAAAAACCCTCTGTAAAGTAGGTCTAGAGGAAACATACCTTAGTAATAAAAGCCTTATGTAAAAAAACCCACAGCTAACATTATACTCAATGGTGAAAAACAGAGTTTTCCTCCTGACGTCAGGAACAAGATAAGGATGTCCACTCTCACCACTTTTATTCAAATTAGCACTGGAAGCCCTAGCTAGCTACAACAATTAGACAAAAATAAATAAATAAAAGGCATCCAAATTGGCAAGAAAGAAGTCAAACTCTCATTATTTGCAGATGACATACTATACACAGAAAACCTGAAAGACTCCACCAAATAACTGTTAGAGATGAACGAATTCAGTAAAGTCATGGGATACAAAATCAATGTACAGAAATCTGCTGTGTTTCTATACACTAATAATGAAGGAGCTGAAAAAGAAATTAAAATAATCCCATTTACAGTTGCACCAAAAATAATAAAATTATCCAGGAATAAACTTAACCAAAGAGGTGAAAGACCTATACTCTGAAAGCTGTAAAACACTTATGGAAAAAATTCAAGATGCAAAGATGGACATTCCATGCTCATGAATTGAAAGAACAAATATTGTTAAAATGTCTAGACTACCCAAAGCAATATACAGATTCAACGCAATCGCATCAAAATACCAACAAAATTTTTCATAGAACTAGAAAAAAAGAATCTTAAAAAATTATATGGGAAAAAAAAAAGACCTCGAGTAGCCAAAGCAATCTTGAAAAAAGAAAAACAAAGCTGGAAGTATCACAATTCCAGATTTCAAATTATACTACAAAGCAGTAATAATTAAAACAGTATGGTACTGGGGCACCCCAGTGGCTCAGCGAGTTACACATCTGACCCTTAATTTTCAGTTTAGGTCATGATCCCAGGGTCATGGGATCAAGCCCTGCATCAGGCTCTGTGCTGTGTGTGAAGCCTGCTTAAGATTTGCTGTCTCTCCCTCTGCTCCTCTCTCCTGCTTGCACTCTCTCTCCTTCAAATCAAAAAATCAAAACAAAACAAAACAGTACGGTGCTGACAAAAAAATAGACATATGGGTCAATAGAACAGAACAGAAAACCCAGAAATAAACCCACAATTATATGGTCATTTAATCTTTGACAAAGGAGGAATAAATATCCAATGGGAAAAAGACAGTCTCTTCAACAAATGGTGTTGGAAGAACTGGAGAGCCACATAGAAAAGAATGAAACTGGACAACCTTCTTACACCAAACATAAAATAAAGTCTAAATATGAGACCTGAAACCATCAAAATCCTAGAAGGGAGCACAGGCAATAATGTCTCTGACATTGGCCACAGCAGCATCTTTTTAGATACATCTCCTGAGGCAAGGGAAACAAAAGGAATTATAAACTACTGGGTCTACATTAAAATAAAAAACTTCTGCACAGTGAAGGGAACAATCAACAAAACTCAAGAGCAACCTATTGAATGGGAGAAGATCTTGGCAAGTGACATATTCAATAAAAGGTTAGTGTCCAAAATATATACAGAACTGATACAACTCAATACCCAAAAAACAAATAATCCATGGGTTCATGAGATCAAGCACAGTGTGTTCTCTCCTCCCCTCCCCTGCACGCACTTCAAAATAAATAAATAAACTTTTAAAAATGGTAAAAAGGTGACAGGGATTAAAGAGTACACTCATCATGATGAGCACTAAGTAATATACAGAATGTTGAATCACTATACTGTACACCTGAAGCTGATATAACAGTGTGTGTTAGCTATACTGCAATTAAAATAAAAACTTAAGGAATACAAAATCTAAACAGCTCTATACTGAATAAACAAACTGAATTCTTATATAAAAATCTTCCTGGGGATGAGCACTGGGTGTTATATGGAAACCAACTTGACAATAAACTATTAAAAAAAAAAAAAACACAACAACTTCCTTCCACCATGGTGGGGGTGGGAGGGGAAGGTGGGCTCACTGACAAGTTGTGTGAGGTCTATCTGGAAAGAGGTTGTCTATCCTCAGCCAGCAAGTACCTCCCCCAAAGAGGTCAAAACATCAAAACATGTAAAGATATAGAAAATCAAATTAATGGGAGAGAGGTGTTTGAGCTAAAGTCATGAGATACAGGTAAAAACAAAACAAATAACCCCAATTACATAAATTACATAAATGTAAAAAATACAACCACATTTTGAGAAGAATCTTCTACATACAAATAGGTGATATTAAAAAAAAGAAGTATGGGTGATAAGGAGAAATCATAAAAAAATGAAGTATCAATAAATACTAGAAAATTTACTATATGCCAGGTATACTTCTAAGCACTTTTTATGTTCTGTTTAAAACACACCAGCTCTGCCGATAAACCCAGGTTTAAGCTTGTGTCTAACATCTACTAGATATAACCTGGAACAAATTACTTAACCTGTCTCAGCCTCAGGTCTTTATATAATACACTTTGCTGTATATTAAGAGATTGGGTAACAAAATCCACATGTGCCAACCTAGCAAGCACAGTATGTTCAGTTATAAGACTCATTAAACATCAGTAGAGTCTTAATACCATAGTCTTCTTAGTAAAGATATTACCAGTTTATAGTTATGTTCATTACCTCCTTTAATAACTATAATACAAAGTCATTCTTATTTTCCAATGAGGTACAGAAGTAAATACACTAGTCCTCAGGAGATACACAGCTAGAAGTGGGAACTGTGATAAAGCTGATAAAGACTTCTCTGACTCTGAGACTCTATCATGTTTTTTCTAAAATTTACAAATCAGAGTACAATGTGGTTCTATTTAAATAAAGTTCAGAAAGAAAATAAGGGATGCAAATACAGGTTAAAGGTTATTAAGAGGTTATTAAAGGGTAACGATAGGATTAAGTTAATAAAAAGTGAAGAAATAATTACCATAATAGTTTGGGTATTAGCGGGGCCCCTGGGAGGCTCAGTCGGTTAAGCATCCGACTTCAGCTCAGGTCA